TTATCAGAAGGATGTTCTAGGAAATTGATTTTTCTTTGGAATGTTTACATTCTTACTTACCTTCCTGAAATGAAGGATCCAGGTCTATTCTCTTACATACAGAATTTCCTGCAAATATAGCAGAACTTGCGCCATGGAAAATTTATCGCTCTACACCATGTGCAGTTCCAATTCGGTCCTCTGTAGTGTGAGGCAGACATCTTACGGCGCTGTGATTGTGAAGCTCTTATCCCTTTTGGTTTCTTGGCCTTCTGCCCCTGAAACTTCTGTTTCTTTTTATTTTCTCTCATGTCAAGGCTTTTACTGCCCCCCAGGGAAGTGTCCTGGGGTATCTGAGAGTCTCCTTCCTGACTCTGGCTCTCGGTGCCTCCAAGGGGGGCAGTCCCCTGGGGCCTCTCTGGATCTCCTTCCTGGCATTGGTTTCTGTTCCCCCCTAGATGAACCACCCCCTGGGATCTTTCTGAACTTTCTTCTTGGCCATGCCTCCCACTAGCTTCCAGGGGGACCATATTCTGGCATCTCTCTGGGTCTTCCTCCTGGCTGTTGTTTCTGATGTCACTCATGGTAACCATGCCCTGGGACCTATCTAGATGTTGTTCCTGGCTGTGGTTCCAGCAATCCCAAATGGGGACCATCCCCTGGGGCCCCACTACACTGTCTTCATGGCTGTGATTCCTATTGTCACTCAGGTTCACTAAGCCCTGTGGCCTCTCTGGATCTTGTTCCTGGCTAAGGTTTCTAACATCCCCTAAGGGGACTGTATCCTGGAGGAAGTCAGGACCTTCCTCCTGGCTGGGGATCCTAGGGTCCCACAGTGGGGCCCTCCCCTCCTGGGCCCACACTGCAGCCCACGGGTTAGGGGTGTAGATCCCCAAAGGAGGCATAGGTGGCATTACTGCCCCTCCTGCTTCCATGAACACTGCTGCTGGTGGTAGAGGTGGCAAGAATGGGGACTCCGGTAGGAATGGTGGATGAAATTGAAATGGGTATGGCACGAACACTGGCAGAGGTGGTGGCATGTTCTGGGCCCAGAGATTGCCAGGCATCCCCATGGCCTCCATATTTCTCTGCTGCTCTTCATTCAGGGGCCATGATGAGGCCCCGAACTGCCTGGGTTGAGGCCCAGGCATCATTTCTTGGTTCGGTAGGGCAACCTGGACCCACCCTGCAACCTGGAGTAGCTGCGCATGAAGTACATCACGCTCATTCAGCGCCTGCTCCAGGGCAGTCCGTGTTAAGTGTAGCTGCAGGGTCTTGTTCTCATGCTCTACATGAAGCCTCTGTAGCTCTGGAGCCAGACCGCAGGCGGTCCCCTCGAGCTCCTCCACCCGGTTCTGCAGCTGCTGGACCTGGCACACCAGCTGTTCACGCTGCCTCTCGGCCACGCGCACGCCCAAGGCGAGCGCGCTCCAGGTGCAGGCCCTCTGGCGCATGCGCGGTACCTGCGGGTCAGTCAGGACGGCCTGGAGCCGGTCCTCGATCTCGTTCCAGGACTGCGAGCGGAGCGTCGTGTAGAAATCGGGGCCGCCCCCGTTCAGAAGGACTTCGTTGTTGATGAAACTGACCACCTCGTTGTGGCGGAACCCACCCGCGGCGTCTTCGAAATTCCCCGCCATGGCCGCCGAGGTCTAGTCAACCGCCCGCCTCACAGGGAACAAGGCCGCCAGCCCGCCCGTAAAAGCGGCGGCTGCCAATCCAGGTGCCCCTCACCTCCAGGTTCAGTCTCAGTCCAGCCCTAGCCAAGTCCCAGCCTCTTCCTCCGCCTCTTTCCTGCCTCACACCCTCCTTTTCCTCACTAGCACCAAAGCTGACTATCGCACCACACCAACTCCATCGCGTAGTGACCACGTACTGCGTCACAACTGTCAACCCGCAAAGCCTTCTGGGACTGACCTTTGGCCCATCCCCTGAGAATTATGGGAAAAGGAACTGTTCCATGCAAACGCTAAGCAACTGACAGCTGGAGTAGCTCTCCAAATATCAGAGACTTTCAGGCAAAATGTTGAGATAAATAGGATATTATATAATGTTAAAAATGTCAATCCATCAAGATACACCAATTGTAAGTGCATATACACTTTATGCACCTAAAAACAGAGTTCAAAATGTATGCCAAAAATAGAATTGACAGTAGATGCAGTTTTACAGGGATAGTTGGAGACTTCAATACTCCATTTTCCAAAATTGATAAAAGATCAATAAGGAAATACAAGACTTGAAAAACACTATAAACTAAATAGACCTAACAGACATCTACAGAACAGTCAATCCCAAAAATGCACACTACATATTCTTTTCAAGTGCACATTGAAGCTGTTACAGGATAGACCATATGTTAGGCCACCAAATAAGCCTTAATAAGGTTATGAAGACTGAAATCATACTATGTCCTCTGACTAAAATGGATTGAAATTAGAAATCAAGACAGGAAAAAATGAAAAATATACAAAAGTGTGAAAATTAAACAACACTGCTAAATAACCAGAGGGTCAAAGAAAACAATCACAAGGGAAATTAGAAAATAAGTAGATATTAATGAAAACAAAATACAACATACCCAAACTAATGGAATTCTGTGAAAGCAATGCTCAGAGGGAAATTTATAGCTGCAAATGCCAAATTTTAAAAAAGAAACATATAATGTTAAGTTAATAATATAACTACCCACCTTAAGGAATTAGAAGCAAGCAACGGGGGGGAAAATGACAGAATTTAGAATGGAGATAAGCAAAACAGAGAAGAGAAAAATAGAGAAAGTAAATCCAAAAGTAGGTTCTTTGAAAAGATCCATGAAATTGACAAGTTTTTAAGAAGATTGTTCAAGACCAAAATAAAGATTCAAATTACTAAAATCTGGATTGAAGAGAGGACATTTACTACTGACCTTAAAGACATAAAAAGGATTATAAGAAAATACTATGTATGATTACATGGCAATAAATTAGGTACTAGATGAAACACAAATTCCTAAAAAACATACAAACTACAAAAATGGACTCAATGCAATCCCCCTTAAAACTTGAGTCCTTTTTCCCCCCCAGAATTGTAAAAGCTGATCTTAAAATTAACATGGAATTGCAAAGGACCCTAGTAGCCAAAACACTATTTAAAGAATAAAGTTGGAGGTTTACACTTTCTATAAGTCAAGAGTGTCAAAACAGAATGATACTGGCATAAAGATAGACATGCAGATCAATGGGATAAAATTGAGAGTTCAGAAATAAACTCATACATCTATGGTCAACTGATTTTTAACAAGAGTGCTAAGACCATTTAATGGGGGGGGGGGAACAATCTCTTAAAAAATAGTTCTGAGATAACTGGATACCTACATGTAAAAGAATGAAGGTAGACTATTACCTCACCCCATATATAAAAATTAACACAATTTTTGTTTTGTTAGTTGCTGTTTGTTTGGGATTGTTGTTTTAGTTACTTTTTCTAAATTATTTTTGTAAACTTTTTATTTAGCATATGTGGCCACAGAAGTCTGTGTTCTATAGGTTTAGTGGTCAATGGATTAGAAATCTATCAATAACCACCTGTCTCAAAAAAACATTTTTTTAAATTTTTTAAAACTCTCCCACTCTGAAGATTGCCTCTGTATTGGGACACTCATTTCAATGCTTAGCCAGGCCATTTGCAACACTGCCTTCACCTTTATTTTCTGCTTGTGCAGAGCCCCAAGGTCAGCCAGAAGTAAAAGTTTAGGATATTCTCTGAAGATTAAGCTTTTTCTGAGCATGTGTATTGTCTTGGGCATACACATGGCCTTCTTGATTCCATGCTTTACACAGGAGCTTTTAAAATCCCACATTCCCCGACATATCTTCTTTCTAAAGCTGTTTCTTCCCAGGCCTTCTGATTTGTCTTGCTTGTCTTGTCTGCTGCTAAAGCCAATACTTGTGCCTTTAAGTGTTTTATCAAATGCTACCTGGGAAGCTGCCTCAAACCTGAGAATGCTCTGAGTTTGGAGAAACAAAGGCAAGCCCTTGTGCACCAGTCCTTAGGGGAACCACCAGACAGATCAAAATACACAACCACAATTCTTTGAGAACAAGGTCTGTATTGCCCCCTCAGGCCCTTGGCACCAGGAGAACAGGCTTGGTTTGTGGGGAAGGATAGACTATTTAAAACACCAGAGAACTCTCTTGCTGCAATGCAGCAGCTTCTTCATTAAGCTTTTCCCGGTTGTTGTGCGTTTTTCAACTAGATTCCAGAGTTCTGCAAAGTTGATTCTGACGGTTTTTGCCGGCTCATTAGTTGCTTTAATGGAGGGATGAAACTGTGGGGTGCCCTACTCTGCCATTTTTGGTATAAAGAAAGCTATCTTGGCCAAAACCCATTAATATTCCAGATAAGATTAATTTCATCTCCATGTCATCCCTCACGCATCCTTCCAGCTCAGCCATCCCTTCTTCCAGGCAGACTTTCCTGACCACTACACACCCAATACTGTAATTAATTTTTTATACTTCTTTCTCACCAACTAGACTTAGTCTCTTGAGGGCAGAGACTAATTGTATCCTTTCATTTCAGGATCCCTAGCACCCGACATGGTTCCAGTTACATAATAGTGCGTATAAATGCCAAAGGGTGTACAAAGGAATAATGAAAGATATAGAAAGAGGGAGAAAGAGACGATTCCATGATTTCTATAGTACTTGTTAAAATTCAGACTGAAACCTATTAGAGGGGTATCTTTGTCATGGTTTCAACATAAGGACATTAAGCTTTTAAAAGACACATACATTCCTAAAGAAAAAAGTTCACCATATCCAAACTGATACGTGTATCTTTTGGGGAAGTTCTTTTATACAATGTTAAACTTTATAACAACTTCAAACTATTACTAAACTAGTCCAAGAACACTTCATAAATTCCATGGTGTTTTAAAAGTATTATTATTAAATGTACGATGCTTCTGACCTTTAAGACCTTTATGGAATCAATTTCCACTGTACTGAAACAGGAAGGTGATATATAATGGCCAGTAAAGTGATATTTTAAAACTAACCTGACTGGGTTATCATTCTTGATGAAACAATGATAATATCACAAGTACCACCACACTTTACTTTGCAGGTGTGCAAGTTTTCAAAGTGTGAATGTATGTTTACAAGAGAATAGAACAATTCAATTGCATAAATTAATCAATCTGAGAAACCACATTAGAAACAGAGCTAATTTTTACATGATTTTCAGTAAGTTCGTATACTTTCAATTTTAGTATAACCTCTGTCACAAAGCTTTCATAACAGCTTTGAATGATAATCATTGATGATAAAGGAAGGAAAATAACATTTTAAAGTTCATCATATTAGTATGTATCTACGTTTGTGCAGATTTAATCTCCCAGGTATCAAAGGTGGTAAATAGAATAGAGAAAAAGCATATACAGTAAGTATAAGCTGTATGTGCTGAGTACTGAGGAACAGTTTTATACTGCTTTAGGAAAATTACACCTTTTATTACATATGCTTTCTTTTCTTGTACTTTGCAACAACAGTGACCTCTGCAATGTAGCTGCCCAGCAGATGCCAAAATAAAAGAGAGGAAGCATCTGGGCAGTTAATCTCAGAAATGCTAATCAAGTTCCCTGATTTTTTTTTTCTCATGTGAGCAGAGTACATGGGTAGAAAATCATTGTAGATAATCAACACAAGTTTAAAATAATGTCACATTGTAAATAAACATAGCTTACAATTTCATCTGGCCCATATTGACAATTTGTATGGTTACCATTGTGCATATGGTCAAATTAACTATGAAGAGGAAGCAGATCTCACACATTTAGTTTATACAGACAAACTGGATTTCCTCTATTCATGTTAATTCTCAAGTATCTGTAAGTAACATCACTCGAACATTATCACTGAAGTCATTCACAATTTTTAGTCTTCCCACCTCCATTCCTGCCACAAAAACATACTCAGACACACAATCTCTCACACAGGCTCACATTCTCAAGTGCTCTTAATAACTCAGGGAAACAGCCGAAACCGGTTTGGCTCAGTAGATAGAGCGTCGGTCTGTGGACTGAAGGGTCCCAGGCTCGATTCTGGCCAAGGGCATGTACCTTGGTTGCGGGCACATCCCTGGTAGGGGTTTTGCAGGAGGCAGCTGGTCGATGTTTCTCTCTCATCGATGTTTCTAGCTCTCTATCCCTCTCCCTTCCTCTCTGTAAAAAATCAATAAAATATATTTTAAAAAATAAAATAACTCAAGGAAACAGGAATTCTAGAACATTGTGCTCCAGCCGACTAACTGGCTGGCAGGACATGCTTGGATCTTCACGCCTGGAGGGGAGAGCAAGGATAGATGAGCCAAGCGTCATGGTGTGAGACAGAGGAATAGATTCTCAGTCTCCAAGATTGGAGAGTCTTAAGGGTGGGGATTAGGTAGGGGCCGCAGCAGACCCTGAGCAAAGGATGAATGGATTACTCTGACACATGTTTCTGTGAAGGGGCTGCTTGGCATGAAGCACCAAAACAGCCCCAATTGCCTGCCTCCTTAGGCTTTTATTGTAACAACAGCTTGAACTAAGATTAACCTCTAGATACAATCAGCAGGGTAAGTATCCTTGAGAAAGCACATACTTATACAAGGTGGAGTCTAAAGACTAAACATAGCGATTCCAGCAAAACACCTGGGGGCTCGGACTTGTTTGGAAAAATCAAGGCAGGGGCTGCCACCTTTGGGCAAGGTCCCAGTAGAGGCCCCCAACCTTTCAGAGAATCCTCCTTACAGACTTTCCAACCAAGTCCCGTGCTTCTTCACAACCAGCTAGGTGGCAGATTTGTGAGCAGTCTCTCATCTCAGGACAAGCATAGGCTGACCTATACAGAAAACTAGGATCACAGTCTCTGAGGAAACTGACCAGCCTCTTTTCCCTAAAAGTTCTTAGAAATAGCTTACCAATAATACCACCTCCAAAATCCACTTATGGTATTAATATAAGTGCATTTGTACTAGTGTGTAAAATGAATACTGCTCTGATTTTAATCCAATGGCAAGGAGAAGACTTGTGAGGGCACGGGTACCTAAAGATCAACACAGGCTATAGCTGGTGAGTGAATAAACAGAAAGAGGTCAAGTCAACTTATTTTCTCTAGTTAGGGTAGTAGTGACAAGCCCAACCCCATGCCACCCCACAGCCTCTTTTTGAGATGCCACGTAGGTATCTCTGTGATTTTTTTCTATAACACTATTGAGCCTTGTTCAGTGGACTGCATTTTGCTACTAAAAATGAATGACTAACAGGGAGAGCCTACGGGACTTTATCAGATCTCCATAACCTAAGAAGGACAGGCCTATAAAGCCATTGAAAGAAGAAATCAGTTCTCCTTCCAAATGTGCCTCAGGGCTGAGAAGAGAGAATAATAATTTCTTCACCAATTCTGCCAGTGCCTGGATTTCACACTCACTATTGTCCTGCTCCTCACAAGATAGTGGCTGGGAAGACAGCAGACCAATCTGTGGAGGTGCCATCCTGGAAAAGTGGGATTCCAGTTTAGTAGAACCCAAATCATACAGTGCCTAGTGCCAGATAAGGGCACTCATTACCCACTACCCTAACAAACACAAACTCATACAAATGCTTCAGGGAGACAAATTCTGTGCCCAACAGAGCAACACAATACAAAGGCAACATCTCAGCCCATTTCTCTGCCCAAGGGCATGCTCAGCACTGTACCGTCTGAGATGCTTCTATTGATACTCTAAAGCAGCGTTTTTCAACCGCTGTTCCGCGGCACACTAGTGTGCCGCGAGATGTTGCCTGGTGTGCCGTAGGTGCAGACAAGACAAGAATTTTATAATTTTTCACTATTTTGTTTACTTAATATTTCATAATAAAGTAATTATAAAATACTTTCTTTGTGTTTATTTGATTCCTATTCAAGAGAATTACTTTATATATAGTCAATATAGGCACAGAGTTAAATTTTTTAACATTTTCTAATGGTGGTGTGCCTCGTGATTTTTTTCATGAAACAAGTGTGCCTTTGCCCAAAAAAGGTTGAAAAACACTGCTCTAAAGTTTAGAGTCTAAAGTTTAGACTCTAAACTGTCTGTCAACTCTCTGTGGAATGCCCATCTTCCTATCTGCCCTTGGTGACTCACAGCTGAATGAATGTTTTTGACATTTTCTTGCCAGTAATAACAACTATGATTTAGGGAGTGCTATGTAATGACTAAGCAAAATAAATTGTATATATTAACACATTTAATCTTCAAAACAACTCCATGAGTTATATGTATAATTATTATACCATTCTGCAGATGAAGAACCTGGGACTCATAAAGGTTAAGTAATTTGCCCAAGATGACACAGCTAGGAAGTGATTAATGCACCACTTTTGTAAAATACCTTGCACACTTGCTTTAGATCTTTTTCTTTAAAGAAATTTAATGTTAGTGATAAAACTACAGCTCTCCTCCATCACATTTCTCTCCTCTCTCCCTTCCTCTTTCCCTCTTCAAAAGTTACCCAAGATTGGTGTATATATTCCTGTGTACACTTTTATAAATATATTCTTATCCATAAAAATATGTATTATTACCTCTATGATAAATGGTATCAACTTGTTTCAAACTTGCATTTTTCACTTTATATGTTTTCTAAATATTTTATGTTGATAACTGTAAATCAGTTCATTCATTTTAACTGCTGTTTAAGATTCTACCCTATGAATATGCATTATTCAGTCTTTTCAACATTAGCAATGGTTGCAATTAACAACATTGTACACATCTCCTAGTGTACATCTGTGACTATATACTTAGAAGTGGAATTTTCCACATGCATGCATTTCCAGTTAAATATTGCTAAATTGTTTTCCAGAATGGTCATACCAGTTTACATTTTAGTTTGATTAAAAATATAGAATTTCTGAATTCCAAATTTATTGAGCAGAGCCATCTTAAATATAATAGCACCATTGAGCCCAATTGGTGTGGCTCAGTGGTTGAGTGTCAACCTATGAACCAGGAAGTCACAGTTTGATTCCTGGTCAGGGCACATGCCTGGGTTGTGGGCTCAATTCCCGGTGTAGGGCATTCAGGAGGCAGCCAATTGATGATTCTCTCACATCATTGATGTTTCTATCTCTCCCTCTTCCTTCCCCTCAGAAATCAATAAAATTAAATTAAATTAAATTAAAAATAAAAATATATATATATAACACATTTGTGACAACTGATGCTTGAGATAGCACAAGATAGTAATTTCCAAGCCCAAATGTCCACCAGAATCCCCCAATGGACGTATAGAATGCAGATTTCCAGGCCTGGCCCCAGTCAAAGTGCACTTCCCCCCAAGTGATCTTGATACAGTTGACCTGTGAACCAGTTTATAGACCACTGGTCTCAGCTACACTCTGACCATTCATAGTCCAGATTTTTCTCATCTTTAACCATATGTTAATTTAGACTATCAGAAAGCAGCAAACATGCTTGCATAAGCTGTTCCCCTTTATCCATTACTGTTGAATATGTGCTTGACTTTTACTATGGGCTACCATAGAAGAATCATATCGGAACTGGGAGGCAGAAGGGTTGAAAGTATGTACTTCTGTTTCATTCTGCTACATTCTGAGTTAAGATTCATAATTAAATTAAGAAAAAATACTCCTGTTTTAACTAATCCACATTCACTAATAGCAGCTAGACAAGGAAAGGGGAACAACCTTATACTGCAAACTTTTTTTTAATATATTTTATTGATTTTTTACAGAGAGGAAGAGAGAAAGATAGAGAGTTAGAAACATCAATGAGAGAAAATCATCAATCAGCTGCCTCTTGCACACCCCCTACTAGGAATGGGCCCACAACCAAGGTACATGCCCTTGACCGGAATTGAACCCTGGACCTTTCAGTCCGCAGGCCAATGCTCTATCCACTGAGCCAAACCGGTTTTGGCTATACTATAAACTTTTAAGAGAAGTATGGGAAAAAAGGTTTTAGTGCACCCCCTTTCACATAGTACTGAAGAAAGAAATATTAACAAAATCCTGAAAACTTTTATTGATTTAATTCCTTTTATAAAACTAGAGGCCCGGTGCACAAAATTCATGCACAAGAGGGGTATCCCTCAACCCAGCCTGCACTTCTCCAATCTGGGACCCCTCAAAGGATGTCCAACTGCCTGTTTAGGCTCAATCCCACCATTTAGGCCTGTTAAGTCTCACAATCCAGGACTGCTGGCTTCCAACCACTCACCTGCCTGCCTGCCTGATTGCCCCCAACCACTTCTGCCTGCCAGCCTGATCACCCCCCACCAATCTCCTGCCAGCCTAATTGACACCTAACTGCTCCCCTGCCAGCCTAATTGTCCCTAACTGTCCTCCCTTGCAGGCCTGGTTCCCTGCAAATGCAGACCTGGTCCCCCCCATAACTTCCCTATCCTGCAAGCCTTATCACCCCAACTGCCCTCCCCTGCAGACCTAGTCACTGCTAACTACCCGCCGCAGGCCTGGGTCCCCCCCCACCTCAACTGCTCTCCCCTGCAGGC